GGGGGGGGGGGGGGGGGGGGGGAGTTTTAGACAATAAAAATTAAAACTGACCATTTTAAGTGCCTTCTCAGTGTTACATGTTTTTTTCCAAGACCCCATATCTGCCACTTTTGCTGAACATAAATGTAAGTGTGGAGAAAAATATAAATTAAGGAATGTGAAATTAAAAAAAATACTAATTTATATACTGTATTACAGGTATTAACCACAAAATAAATGTTTAAAGACTTTTTACTGACCTACAACTTCTTGTTTTCTTCTTCTCAATTCCTAAGAAAATAGGTTTGGCATCACAACATACTTAAAAATTCAGTCAAATTGGTGACCATTAATGCATGAAGGGTTTAAACATTTGAAGTGTTTAAACATTACTATTCACAAAAGGGTGAAGAGTTTGGAGAAGGCAGGAGAAGTGATCAATCTAGGCCACAATAGCTGAATTGAAAAAAAATCTCCAATTCAGCTCACTTTCCAGTTCAGCTATGTTTTCCTAGATTCACTTCTCCTGCCTTCTCCAAACTCTTCACCCTTTTGTGAATAGCCCTTTGGCATTTGGCTCTTCATTTATTTTGTTGATGGTAAATTCTGAACTCCTTGTTTTTTTTTGTACAACCACCTGCAGAATATATTAGACCAATAGACCAAGTGTTGATGCAGTGACTAAAGGTGGGAAATACATATAACTCTCTTCATAACCTGCTATGCTTGATAAAAAAAACTTGTTTCTAATCCCATGTTTCAAGTATATTGGATTAAGTTATTAGCTTTCCCCAACTGACTGATGCTCTCACCTACCTTCAGTGATCTTGTCCAATTAAACTGGTAATAAGATCCTTGAAATGGAGGACCAACGTCTGTTGGAAAAATATAATAGTAATAATAATAATAACAATGTTAGTACTGTAGTTATGTTGCTTTCCCTCCAGAAATAAAAGTTAGTTCAATTTGTCCTTGACTCTAAATTGTGAACTATAGAAATATACGGTATTACTTTGTTCTCCAAAACTTCTTTAAAGAAATTCTGGTCTGCGGCATGGGGTGCTTAAGCTTTTTCAGCTTCCAAATCTTTTATTTGGCTGCTCAAACGACCTGCACACACAATTGGATTAGGCCAGGCATTGACAACAAATTTACTGATCTAGAAGCATCAATCTTCAAATTATATGGAACTTTATCTGATGTGAACTACAGTTCTGGTATTGTTCTCACACAAAGGTTAACTATTATAAGGAAGTTGCTTGAAATTTTAAATCACTCTAGTAAGACTGTACATGTTGTCACCCAAAATTTCTAATTTCCCAGAATTGTTAAATATCCCAGATGGCTATATATGCACATTCCTTGGGTACAAATATACCCATCAACTGCATTCAAAAGGCAACTTTAAACCTTTGATTTACTTATGATGCACTTGGCTCTACATACTGTATATGTACAACTTAAACATATTGCATAGCAACTGGTCTAACAGATGTTAAAGTGTTGATATAGTCAAAATAAAAGCATATGGGGGCGTGGCCTGATGCGGAACCAAGATGGACGCTTAGACCTTCTCCTCGGGCTCTCTATCTTCTGCTTACCAAGGGATCTACAGTATCCAAAACCATGAGGAGAACGGGTAAAGCAACCCAGGCTCCCAAGCCGCCCAAGGGAGCAAGCTCTCAACCAACGCGCAGCCTGCCAGAACTGTTCCGAACTCAACCGCCTGAACGACACGTGGAGAGAGAGAGACGCCATCTTCTCCCGAGGGATACTCGCCGCACAGTAGCCTGAGCAGAGAGTCCCTTCCCGAACACCCATCACATCAGGATTTGATCGCTCTGATGGGACAGATGCCCTGCATGTCAGACCTCCACTCTATTGCAGCGGACATCAAGGCCACGCTCACTGCGGCTCTATCAGAGCTAAAAGCCGACCTACACTCTGTGGCAAACCGCCTTCATGAGGTTGAAGAAACGACCCTTAAACGAAGCCACCTGATGCACATCGCACACAACACCCGCTTACTTGAGATCTCAATCCCAAATCTTCTAAAAGCGTTCAACGAATTTGCAATACTCTCCTCTTTTAAAATTAACTTCTCTAAATCGGCAGCGCTTAACATATCCCTCCCAGACGAGTCAGTCCAATTTTGCAAAACCAATTTTCCTTTCACTTGGGCTCATTCAGCCATTACATACCTGGGGATAGAGCTTCCCACAGACTTACTGAACCTTTATCCCCTTAACTTCGCCACCCTAATAACACGCATACGCAACGATCTAAAAGAATGGACCAAACTGCGCTATTCCTGGTTTGGTCGAGCGGCCATCATAAAATGACTATCCTGCCCAGACTTCTCTACATGTTCCAAACCCTGCCCATCGCTCTCCCTAAGGCATTTTTCTCCTCGATCAACGCTAATATGCGGCGGTCCTTTCTGTGGAATAATAAATCACCGCGAATTGGGTTCAACACTCTCACCCGCTCGAAGCTGGCTGGTGGTATAGGCCTCCCCCATATACAAAATTACTATAGGGCATGCCATTTAACGCGTATAGTAGACTGGACCCGACATGGCCCCTACAAAGAATGGGTCCAAATTGAGCAGCTACATTCAGACATACCGATTAACTCATGGCCCTGGATCCAACGCTCCCTTCTACCTATCCGGGTTATGTCTCACCCTACAATAGGAACATCTTTATGCCTCTTTGAAATTATTTGTACTCATTCAGATTTATCCTCAAACCTTGGCCCCCTCACTCCGATCCGCATGAACCCAGCCTTCCCCCCGGGGCAGCACTCCGCGTTCCTGGCCCGCTGGTCCCCAGACAAATCTCCGACCGCAAATTTGTTATTTGACCACCAGGGAACGTTCCGGACCCTATCAGATCTAAATGCCAACAGCCAGGCTAACCCCATGCCTTTATGGACATATTTCCAAATTCGCCACTACCTTACCGCACACAACATTAGACCACGAGTGATTAGACCTCTAAGCCACTTTGACAAACTATGCAACTCTCATGGAAGAATTACGCATTTGATATTCGAGACGTATGGCTTGCTGTCCGACTCCCCCTCGCAGCCCTCTCCGGCCTCTGAGGCTTGGAATAGAGACTTGTCCATCTCCCTCTCACCACAGGAATAAACATATTGCATAGCAACTGGTCTAACAGATGTTAAAGTGTTGATATAGTCAAAATAAAAGCATATGGGGGCGTGGCCTGATGCGGAACCAAGTGGGACGCTTAGCCAGCTCTCTATCTTCTGCTTACCAAGGGATCTACAGTATCCAAAACCATGAGGAGAACGGGTAAAGCAACCCAGGCTCCCAAGCCGCTCAAGGGAGCAAGCTCTCAACCAACGCGCAGCCTGCCAGAACTGTTCCGAACTCAACCGCCTGAACGACATGTGGAGAGAGAGACGCCATCTTCTCCCGAGGGATACTCGCCGCACAGTAGCCTGAGCAGAGAGTCCCTTCCCGAACACCCATCACATCAGGATTTGATCGCTCTGATGGGACAGATGCCCTGCATGTCAGACCTCCACTCTATTGCAGCGGACATCAAGGCCACGCTCACTGCGGCTCTATCAGAGCTAAAAGCCGACCTACACTCTGTGGCAAACCGCCTTCATGAGGTTGAAGAAACGACCCTTAAACGAAGCCACCTGATGCACATCGCACACAACACCCGCTTACTTGAGATCTCAATCCCAAATCTTCTAAAAGCGTTCAACGAATTTGCAATACTCTCCTCTTTTAAAATTAACTTCTCTAAATCGGCAGCGCTTAACATATCCCTCCCAGACGAGTCAGTCCAATTTTGCAAAACCAATTTTCCTTTCACTTGGGCTCATTCAGCCATTACATACCTGGGGATAGAGCTTCCCACAGACTTACTGAACCTTTATCCCCTTAACTTCGCCACCCTAATAACACGTGTGCGCAACGATCTAAAAGAATGGACCAAACTGCGCTATTCCTGGTTTGGTCGAGCGGCCATCATAAAATGACTATCCTGCCCAGACTTCTCTACATGTTCCAAACCCTGCCCATCGCTCTCCCTAAGGCATTTTTCTCCTCGATCAACGCTATGCTGCGATCCTTTCTTTGGAATGATAAATCACCGCGAATTGGGTTCAACACACTCACCCGCTCGAAGCTGGCTGGCGGTATAGGCCTCCCCCATATACAAAATTACTATAGGGCATGCCATATAGGCCTCCCCCATATACAAAATTACTATAGGGCATGCCATTTAACGTGTATAGTAGACTGGACCCGACATGGCCCCTACAAAGAATGGGTCCAAATTGAGCAGCTACATTCGGACATACCGATTAACTCATGGCCCTGGATCCAACGCTCCCTTCTACCTATCCGGGTTATGTCTCACCCTACAATAGGAACATCTTTATGCCTCTTTGAAATTATTTGTACTCATTCAGATTTATCCTCAAACCTTGGCCCCCTCACTCCGATCCGCATGAACCCAGCCTTCCCCCCGGGGCAGCACTCCGCGTTCCTGGCCCGCTGGTCCCCAGACAAATCTCCGACCGCAAATTTGTTCTTTGACCGCCAGGGAAAGTTCCGGACCCTATCAGATCTAAATGCCAACAGCCAGGCTAACCCCATGCCTTTATGGACATATTTCCAAATTCGCCACTACCTTACCGCACACAACATTAGACCACGAGTGATTAGACCTCTAAGCCACTTTGACAAACTATGCAACTCTCATGGAAGAATTACGCATTTGATATTCGAGACGTATGGCTTGCTGTCCGACTCCCCCTCGCAGCCCTCTCCGGCCTCTGAGGCTTGGAATAGAGACTTGTCCATCTCCCTCTCACCACAGGACTGGGAGAAGATGGACAACCTATTGTTGAAAGGTTCATCAAACGTCCAAATCCAAGAGACCAACTACAAGATTCAGTCGAGGTGGTATAAAACACCTGAGGTACTCCACCGCATCTTCCCAGACTCTCCAGATGTCTGTTGGCGTTGCTCTCAAGTTGGTGGCTCGTTACTCCACATCTGGTGGTCCTGTCCCCAACTATCCCCCTTCTGGACAGAGGTTCTAGCTCTCATACGGGACATCACCGGAGTCTCAATACCGCCTTCCGCGGCATCCGCATTACTTTTCCATTTTGGCGATTCCTGGCGCCTCTCTAAAAAATCCTTGGCTATACACCTCCTAAATGCAGCCAAAACAGTGATACCCAGGCATTGGAAGACAACACACCCCCCGAATATCAAAGAATGGCT